GGTGTATTCTTTCTCAATACAATTTTGCAATAAACTTAATTTCCACAGTTACTTTAACTTAAACACATGCTATAATTCACAAGGAACGATTCACACACTTTACTTGCTACCGCGCTCGACACAACTGTCCGTCTCTATCTCTGCAATTCTATTCTGATTCATTGTCTGGCACACTTATATACAAGAATAGAGGGTGCCTAGCAAAGACTGGATTATTTGCAATGTTCCTCAATCTTTCTAGAACTCATTACGTGTTACATGGTGTTGTCAGGATAGTTCTGATGTCTAAAATAATGAGTCATGTCATTTGCTTTACACCTGAAGTGATTGTGCTCAGAGGGATGGAGAGAATTAAAATGTAAATAGGAATGGCTATCAGTGGGTTTGTAACATATGCTGATAATAAATGTATATGTGGAAATGTTGGGTGATAAGTTTTGGTATAATGAATGAAAAGGTCAAGTTTGCCTTTGTGTCCAGTAAAAAGACCAAGAATATTGTTGATGTACCTGATAAAAGGTGGGAAGTTTGTGGGTGAAGGTACTGAAAGTTGATTCTATATGTATCGCACCTACAATAGCAACACACATTCCATCTGATCCTTTCAACTGCTTTGAAGTTCAGAATCCAAACTGGTCACCACCAGGAGGAGATCTCCAAATCCTTAATACTTTTATCAACCACTGTCATGCTGAAATCAACACTTTTAAATTTAAGAATACTAATACTAGGCCTAACTTCTCCAAAGATGAGCGATTTGCTTTATCCACCCTGAAAACCTCCAAGGACATCATCATCATCAAACCAACCGACAAAAGTGGCACTGTTGTTGTTGTTTGGCATAAAGATCTGAATGTTCAAGAGGCTAACAAGCAACTAACTGACTCCACCTTCTATAAACCTCTCTATGACGATCCTCTTCCCCATTTTCAGAAACTCATTAAGGATAGTATAGAAGAACTTATCAAATCTAGCCACCTTCCCACTTCTGTCAAAAATCTTATAGTTCAACATCCCAGAGTTACCTTTTTCTACATGATACCCAAAGTTCACAAACCCGGGTGTCCAGGACACCCTATAGTTTCTGCCTGTAACTACACCACTGAACTGATCTCCACTAACCTTGACAGTATTTTTCAACCCCTAGCAAAAACCCTACCTACATTTCTTAAAAATATTACTCATGTCCTTAATCTCTTAAACAAACTTGCCACCTCCATTGATTACATTTTCACTATGGACACTCAATCTCAATACACTGTTATACCACACAACGATGAATTCACTGCACTTAAACAACATTTTCTTAACAAAAGAAGAAATTATATATCACTCTACAGACACCATAATCTGGCTGACTGACTTTAAACGCATTTGATTTTCACAGAAAAACATATCAACAGTTACAAGGTGTTCCCATGGGAACCAAAATGGATCCATCCTATTCAAACCTTTTTGTTGGTTACTTAGAAGAACAACTTTTCAGTATCTTCACCCACAAACTTCCTACATATTTTTATCAGATACATCAACGATAGTCTGCGTCTTTTTACTGGACACAAAGATGAACTTGACCTTTTTTTTTTCATTCATTATGACGAAACTTATCATCCGTCTCTTAAATTTACTTCCCAAATTTCTAGTCATAAAGCTAACTTTTTAAACATCACTATTGACATTTCCACATCTACATTTATTGTCAACATACATTACAAACCTACTGATAGCCATTCCTATTTACATTTTAATTCTTCCATTCCTCTGAGCACAAACACGCTATTCCTAAGGGACAATCCTACGTTTGAGACGTCTACGCTCTGACAACGCTGACTTCAGGTGTAAAGCAAACAACGACTCGTAATTTTACACATCAGAACTATCCCGCAACACCACTGAAAAGGCTAAACTTGCCACATTCAGTTAAATCACAAGCTGAAGGACAAACCATATAGTGACAGAGTTCCTTTAGTTCTTACATACTATCCTTTAACCAGACAGATTTGTAGAATTGTCCAATGCAACTTTACCTTACTAAAAATAGACAACACATCTCGTGACATTTTTACCACCCCACCATGAATTTCTTTCAAACGTGAGAGGAACTTGAAAGACTGTTTAATACATTCCAAATTACGGACTGAATTGTCTTTACTTGCACAAACTAACGGGACTCATCTGTGCAGGCGAACTATTTGCCTTACATATGATTATATCTCCAACTTATCGACTCTGTCCAGTTCTACCTTTACCTTTCACGCCTAATTCACCTGTACACCAGAGTGCATTATTTATTGTATTTGCTGTACTAGATGTAAACAACTCTATATTGAGGAAACTATATGCAGATTAGATGACAGATTTAATGAACATCTTCAACATGTACGCAATGGCACCCTCAACCACCCAGTTCCTAAACACTTCAACTCCCAAGTTTACAATGGAATTGATGACATGAGTGTACTCATTTTATTACATCCCCCCCCTCCCCACAACAAGTATGATCGTGAAAGCCTAGAACATAAACACATATTTAAATTAAATTCTCTTTCACTATACGGAATTAATGAACATTTTTCTTTCAAGTGATTAGAGCTTCCATCTATCTCTTTGCCACCCCCTGTTAAGTTTTTACCATCTACACATATTTCCCTGATCATTATTATTAAATTAATATTTTATAATTTTCTTGAATTTATGTTTATTACTTTTCTGTGTCCTTTTAATTTCTAAAATCCAATCTCTACCATTTTAATATTTGTTTTCCATTTTTAAAATTGTTTATAGAACTGCTTCAACAATATTCCTTCTAATAATATTTTTTGTAACGTGCTCCAAGCAGTACATATGTAATTTAGATTCTCTTTATATCCTAACCCTTCAATGACACTGTCTAAGCCTTTTTTTTCAATGTAACATGGTTTAAACTGCCTGACGAAGGGCTTTTGCCCAAAACGTTGCAAATAAATATAAAGATTTTGTCATAGACATGCATTTTTACAAATTTTGAACACCTTTTTTCATTATTTTTCCATATATTTATATATATTACATATTTATTTATATAAAGATTTTGTCAAACATGCCTTTTTACCAATTTTGAACACCTTTTTTCATTATTTTATTATTTTTTCACATCTTGCAGTCTTTCCTACTGTGTGTTTGGACATAAAGGTACAATTTGGCCCTTTAAGGTTGTCCCTGCACACCCTTCATTTTTCAAAAAATAACCAACTCCAATTTTTAAAAACTCTTGTTGACAACTCATTCTATAAGCCATTCATCCTTTTTATAAGAATAAAACAGCCTTAACTAGCCTGTCCTTTCCAAACCTTAAACTTCTGTCCTATCACAAAGTTTCTCCAGAACACAGCATAAACAACTGAGAGGCCTTTGCCCTATCAATCTTTTAAAATTTAAGATCACCTTTTCTTTTCCCAAAAGAAAATAATAAAACATATTAACCTAATCCAACAAGATCACACTTCCATCCCCAGAATCATCTTAGTAGACCTCCTCTGAATCCTTTCCAATAATTCAATATCCTTTCTTAAGCAAGACCAATATTTCAAGTGAGGCCTAACTAGTGATTTGTATAGAAATAATTATCCTAAAATTCCATTAGCTTTGAGTGATATATCCATCACTTTGCCAAGATCCTTTTCTTCAGTCATACTATTGAGTAGGTTCTTGTCTTTATCAAATGTATTGTTGCGTCAACGAGGTCACGTGACTGGTGTGGCGCCCTCTATTTTCTAGAACTATCTTGTTTTTTCATGAATGCTCTAGTATTTGCTAGATAGGGTAGGCTGGTATATAAAAGAGGAGAAGGTAATGTGTGTGTAGATAGTGAGTAATTGAACTGCAGTCACAGGGTATTGTTGAAGTTAACGTTCGTTCGTTACAGTGTTGTTTTAGCCACCATCGAAGAAGAAACTCTACTCAGTTTTGAGAAGGGAAACGGTGAAACTCTTGGTGAAGTTACTACCACTGATGTGACTGTTACCGATGATGGGAAATTTACTGATGAAGCGGATGAACCCCACATGAAGCAGAAGCCAATGAGATGGAGACC